GACCCACAATAAGGAACCCCAATATAATGGACCCACAATATAATGAACTCTAATATAATGGACCCACAATATATGGACCCACAATATATGGACCCACAATATAAGGGACCCCAATATAATGGACCCACAATATAAGGGACCCACAATATAATGGACCCACAATATAAGGAACCCCAATACAATGAACCCACAATATAAGGAACCCCCAATATATAAACCTCAATATAATGGACCCACAATATAAGGAACCCCACAATATAATGACCCACAATATAAGGAACAATATACGGGAACCCCAATACAATGAACCCACAATATGAACCCACATATAAGGGACCCCTCAATATAATGGACCCACAATATATGAACCCCAATATAATGGACCCACAATATGAGGACCCACAATATAATGGACCAACAAATATAAGGAACCCCAATATAATGGACCCCAATATAAGGAACCCCCCAATACAATGAACCCCCAATATAACGAACCACACCCCTAATATAAGGGGACCCCAATATAACGAACCCAATATAAAGGACCCCTAATATAACGAACCCACACAATATAAAGGACCCCAATATAACGAAACGACCCCTCAATATAACGAACCACAATATAAAGGACCCCAATATAACGAACCCACAATATAAAGGACCCCAATATAACGAACCCACAATATAAAGGACCCCCAATATAACGAACCCACAATATAAAGGACCCCCAATATAACGAACCCACAATATAAAGGACCCCCAATATAACGAACCCACAATATAAGGGACCCCCAATATAATGGACCCACAATATAAGGAACCCCATAATGGACCCTACAAATATAAGGAACCCCAATACAATGAACCCACAATATAAGGAACCCAATATAATGGACCCACAATATAAGGGACCCACAAAATGAACCCACAATATAAGGAAACCCCAATATAATGAATCAATATAGTGACCCCAATATAAGTAACCACAATATGGGGACCCAATATAATGGACCCACAATATAAAACCCCCAATATAATGGACCACATATAAGGAACCCCCAATAATGAACCCACAATATAAGGAACCCAAATAATATAAGGGACCCTCAATATAATGGACCCACAATATAAGGACCCACAATATAATGGACCCACAAAATAAGGAACCCCCAATATAGGACCCACAATATAAGCCCCCACACAAGAACCCACAATATAAGGAACCCACAATAAGGGACCCCAATATAAGGAACACATGGGACCCCACAATATAATGGACCCACAAGGAACCCCAAATAATGGACCCACACATAAGGGACCACAATATAGGACCCACAATATATGAACCCCAATATAATGGACCCACAATATATGGACCCACAATATAATGGACCCACAATATAAGGAACCCCAATACAATGAACCCACAATAGGAGAAACTCAATATAGGACCTAAATATAAGGGACCCACAATATAATGGACCCACAATATAAGGAACCCTCAATATACGGACAATATAAGGAACCCCCAAATGGACTCACAATGGACCCAAATATAAGGACCCATTAATAACTAATGGACCCAAATAATAATAAACCCACAATATAATGGACCCAATATAAGAACCCCAATATAATGGACCCACAATATAGGAACCCATCAATAATGAACCCCAATATAACGAACCCACAATATAAGGGACCCCAATATAACGAACCCACAATATAAAGGACCCCAATATAACGAACCCACAATATAAAGGACCCCAATATAACAAACCACAATATAAAGGACCCCCAATATAACGAACCCATAAAGACCCCCAATATAACGAACCCACAAATAAGGGACCCTATAACGAACCCACATATAAAGGACCCCCAATATACCAAAACTACAATAAAAGGACCCCAATATAACGAACCCACAATATAAAGGACCCCAATATAACGAACCCACAATAATAAAGGACCCCCAATATAAAAAGACATTACCAACACGCACCTAGTTGACTCATACAACTGGACGAGTCACAAACAACTGGATGACTCACATTAAACTGGATGAGTCAGGTTTTCAGTGATGAGTAAGAGGCCGACAAGAGGTGGCACTGTGCCCATGTTTGGACTCAACAGGCGGCAGCAACTGGGGGTCAGCACACTGCGGGAACCAACCTCGCTGTTAAAGTCAGGGTAATTTGTTTTGTTTTCCATTTCTCGTGCTTTGTGTTCTAAATTCGTGTTACATTCGTATTTAATTTCTATCTATCTGTCTGTCTGTCTGTCTGTCTGTGTCTGTGTCTAATCCTTAGGTTAGGTATAAGTTAGGTTCAGTGTGAGGTGAGGTGAGGTGAGGTGAGGTGAGGTTACATTATCCTTGTAAATGGAGATGGAAGGACCCATCTAACCGGCTTATAGACAGACAGATACAGACAGAGACAGACAGATAGATTGAAAGATGGATAGATAGATATACTGTAGAAGTTTCTTTGGGTCCGTCACACTGTACATATAGTGAGGACGTATATAATAGTTGTTTATAACCTGCAGGTATACAATTAATGTTGAACAGCAAGTAGATATAACCAATGACAGCACAAAAAAGCTATTAGTAACCTACTTCCATTATGGTATGTATAATGTGCTCGTGAGTACAATGATTTAGCTTCAGTAAATGTTATCACATTATTCCAATTCAACATTCCGATGAAGTCACATTATTTCATCACTTGACCGTGTCTCTGGGACGCTCTCTCTCTTCAGCAGATAGAAAGTTAAGTACTATATATGTGCAGGAAAATATATAACTTTCTCCGTGAGTGTATGTGTGTGTGATGTGGTAAAAAGACGGTATATCCCGACATGTGTTGTGCGGACGGTGCGGCCTTGAGCGCGCGCTTCCTCATTCCCGCACTATGACGTCACAGTTGCGCTCTGGCCGCGTCATCATCCCCACAAGATGTCTCCTGATTTACCCTTTACTCTCTATATTTAGATCCGTTGATTATCGTTTTAGGATCTGCATCGCGCGGAAGACTTCAATCCGCCAGTGTGTTTTCCTTTTATTAACTAACGTGACTGAATCATCAGTCCTTACTTAAAAGGGAAAATACAAGTCAATATCTTGAACAAAGGTTGTTCTACAAGTGGTCTTTGTTTTACCATGCATGTCATAAGTCCCAGGACATGTTTTATAAACACCTCAAGTACGTAACCTTGTATGCATTCTTTAGCCAAAAATTCTTCGACGCAAATGGAATATTATTGTCAGATGACTTGCCGTGTGAGGGCGCGCCCGGTATCAAATATGTCACCGCAAAAATGCAGGAATTCCATAGCGTTATTTCTCATCATTTCACATGACTCTTTGTACGAGATGGATTTTCAACTGAGCTTAAAATAATGATTAAACTCCATGAGGCGTTAGTTATGTGTATATATATATATATATATATATATATATATATATATATATATATATATATATATATATATATATATATTCAAGTAACGTTGCTTCCATATTTCTTAAAATATATATTGTGTGTGTGTGTGTATTTCTCATTCCTTGACCGTACCCTTCAATTGAAATTCCTTACGTGGTTTTCAAGAAGATTATGAAAACATTTGGCGTCGTATCCCCCCTTGTCTTAAGAGTTAGATTCGCAGAACAAACATTAAAAATATTTTATTTTATTACGGTTCTATTATTTATGTATATATAAAGCTATCAGATATAAAAAGAACCATGGAGCCAGCTCGAGCATCTCTGGTATGTGACCCGTCTTAACTCTTAACTCCAGCTTACGGTCAGTCAGTGTTGATATTTCCACGGTGGAGTCAAACATGACTCCCCGCTCCTGGCCCAAGGCTGACGAGATTCTGAACGTCACGGTAAAAAGCCTGGCACAGAACAGCCCCTCCCACCCCACCCCCACACCCCCCACCTTAGCTTAGCAGAATAATTAGCCTATCACAGGAAATTGTTACCGACGAACAGCACTTAACATAGCAGGGTAATGAAGGAATGTTTCAGTATCAGTAGAATGGAACTTGGATACAACAGTGAGAAATGGCGACGGAATATCTCTGAGCCTTTACTTTGATATCTAATGATTTTTAGTCAGTTCTTAATTTAAATATTAACAGGAACCTTTGAAAATTTTATGTGTGGGGATGTGTGTGTGTGTGTGTGTGTGTGTGTGTGTGTAAGGTGGAGGGTGGGGAGGAGGTGGTAAAAAGGGGAGAGGAGGGAGTAGAGGTGGGGAAGGTGGGAGGGGGGGAGAAAGAAGGTGGGGGAGGAGTAGGAGGGGGAGGAGTGGGGAGGGGAGAGAGGTGGGGGAGGGAGGGGAAAAGAAAGGTGGGGGAGGGAGGGGGAGGGGGAAGAAAGAAGGTGGGGAAGGGAGGGAGGGGAGAAGAAGGTGGGGAGGAGTGGGAGGGGGAGAAGAAGGTGGGGGAGGAGAGAGGGAGGGAGAAGAAGGTGGGGGGAGGTGGGGAGGGAGAAAGGGTGGGGAGGGGGAGGGAGAGGGGGAGAAAGAAGGTGGGGGAGGGAGTGGGAGGGAGAAAGAGGTGGGGGAGGAGAGGGGGAGAGGGAGAAAGAAGGTGGGGGAGGAGTGGGGAGGGGGAGAAGGTGGGGAGGGAGAGAGGGAGGGAGAAAGAAGGTGGGGGGAGGGGGAGAGGGAGGGGGGAAAAGAAGGTGGGGGAGGAGAGGGAGGGGGAGAAGGTGGGGGAGGGGGAGGGAGAAGGTGGGGAGGGAGGGAGAAAAGAGGTGGGGGGAGGAGGGAGGGGGGAGAAAGAGGTGAGGGGAGGGAGAGGGAGAGGGAGAAGAGGTGGGGGGGAGGGAGAGGGAGGGAGAAAGAGGTGGGGGGAGGAGAGGAGGGGGGAGGAAAGAAGGTGGGGG